AGAGAGAGAGAGAGAGAACTTCTCTTCTCTTCTTGGTAGATCTCTTCTCGGTAACTTGATAAAGTCCTTACTAACCGCGAGCTTAAAGCCGCCAGACGCGGGAGGTCCCTGAGATGTCCGGAACGACAGGATCGATCGATATCCGTGAGATTTTCCGCGATGCTCCCAACTTAGCGCATATATCCCATCGGAACATTTATTTACAGTCATATGTGAAAAGTGTTTGTCCAACAATCCAGAATTCATATCCGATATGTCAGCGAATTTATTTACTTAAAAACGTGAACTTTTCTTCCATGCGTAGTGGATGTGCGACAATTATATTCAACATCTAAATCTCATCATAGATGGTTCAATCGCAAATTTAGTAGAGGATTTCATCGTGGAATTATTGACAAATTAATTCTTAAAATGTGTTTATTTCAGGGAGGAAGGATGGTTCTAAAACTATGTTATTTATATATGACGAACATTTTAATTACGAAATTAGTAGTCAAGTCCTTCCTTCTTTAAATAGAAAGCTCGTGTATTTTATAAATACCATTCGTATATTTACCGTAATCTTAAAAGCAAGAAACTAAATGTAGAAATATAATTTATGAAAAAAGTTTTAATTATAGCATTTCGTAATTATAAAATTATCATCAAAAACTTCCCGATCAAATTAATAATTACAAATTGCGACGATTCAATTGTGCGCTTGATAAAACTCATTATATATATATATATATTTTTTTTTAGACAAGATTGCATCCCAAATGTTTTGCAGATAAAAAGGAGAAATCCATAAATGTATCTCTAATATAATATATCATATTTTCGAGCACAGAGAAGGGAAGTTCAGTTTCTCTCTCGGTTAAAACTTCATCGCGTATGGCGTATCCGAGTGGATCTTCGGCGCTTTTCACGAAAACGCGATTCTCGGAACCGATTTATCGGTCTCCTCCCGACGGAGCGGCCGTCGCGCTTTTAGCGAGATAGCGGTGGCGGCGGCGGCGACGGTGGCTCGCGAAATCGGATATAGGAAGACTACGTACCTGCTGTGCACTCAAGAAAATGTTTGTCGCAAGAGGCAGATATCGGCATTTTCCGTCACATAAATCCACTTTACCGTAGTCGCGTGTCGCGGAGTGTCACTGATGGCGCGGAGACGACGGGGCGGGCGGCCGATTGGCACGACGAGAAAGAGGAAAGACGTCATCCGCTCCGGGTTGGATAATACATAAGTGACGGTAGCACGGCGCGTTGTGGGAATCATATCTCGAATTATGAAT